GTTTGTCTTCAAGTAGGAGGCAAATGAACTCAGCCATGTGGAGAGTTATGTGGGAAAAGGTCAACACTGCATGACATGAATCACATGGGACAAGACAAGGAGAAGCCATGCGCCCAGTTCACAGGGTCTTCCACTTGTTAGTCCTCATTTCTGATATCTTTTCTTTCAGATTCTTCAGTAACTGTATATGTAACTGAGCACTAGGCAAACTGGGATTCACTGCCTCCCACCACTTTTCACTTCCTATTGAACTTGAGTCTGTGCTAACCATCCAAACCTCTTCTCTGAAGCCAAATCTATTAGAGCTAGACTTCCCCAACACTCTATTTTTTCTCCTGGCCTTAACACAGCTTTCTGGGCCTCTTCCTCCTACCTACCTAATATTGTTGTACTTCATGCCCTCTGTATCTAACTAGCCCTCAAGTCTTGCTCCTCTTGTTTAAGCCAATACTATGGCCAACCATGTGTTACACTAACATCAACTTGGCTTCTCCTCTCCAGTCACTCAGGTTATGGTGGGATGGCTAGAGAAGAGAGATTATTAACTACACAACTCCATTTATAAGCAAAATGGAAGTCCCCTCAAGACTGAGCAGAGAAGAGTACAGAGATTCTATGGGTGCACCGCCCCTCAGGCTCTTCCACGGAGGGTTTCACAGGTAACTGCACTTGTGCACTGTGATTCCCACTCCAGAAAACTCTACACGACCTTTTAAAATCCAAGTCTCAGCTGCCCTGCACATAGAGCACACAAAGAATGAGCAAAATACACAGTGATTGTTTAAATTTTATAGCTGTATAACACTGAAAGACTCATTACTATTAATTCCTGTCAAAATACTCCCCCATCACTTCAAACACTCTTACCCTATCATGACTACAACTTCCTGAAGCAGTTCTGGAAGTTCCTCTTTTCTGAGTGACTTTACCCAGTGTGAAAAAAATATAGTGAATGTTGCTCCCTAGTGCCATCCAACAGAAAGGTAGGCTCATAAAAACATGATAGGACTTCTTCATTCACCTTATCCACTGAGTCTGGAGCCCTGGAACTTCTGACTCTTCCCCAGCATCAAAATGACCATGAAAGGCTAACATGAAGCAATTCAGGACACTGAGGCAGCAAGGACAGAGCAACTACAGACACTAATGAAAAGGACTTCCAGAACTACTTCAACAAGTGTCAAGAATGATGAGATAAGTGTGTTCAAAGTGAGAGGAAATATTTTGAGGGAGAGTTGTGGCAATGCGCCCTTTACTGTAATACATTTTTAAGAAAAGAGTTTAAACATTCACTGAATTATTCAATCACAACATCCTATTTTAAAGCTCCAGGGAAGAAACAAAGGAAATCAGTTATAGAAAATCCAAATAACATGGCTAAATTTCTATATATTGCAATTCTTATCCCAAGAAAAAATAATTTTATCCTAAAGCGGCTATTTCACAGGTCTCTTGTCTATGAGATAGGTGTAAATTTAGGCAAACATTCAGATATCAGGAATGCAGTTCTGTTTCATAACTAATATCTTATTCTATCTATCTGGAATCCCTTTTTTAATGAGATAGAATGTATAATTTTAAATTTTGTATTTAAATTGTTCTTCTTGTTTAAAACTTTCTATGCTCCCTGCAGATACAGTATCTGGATACACAATGTAGCCAACATGTCCTACATGTTGGTGGTGGAACACCCAAGTCTCTAGGTGACTGATACAACATATGTGGTCTCTGGGTAGTGGCCTCTGTCATCGTGGCTTCTGTGGTAGTGGCCACTGAGGATTCTTCTGGATTCAGATTGTCCTGTCTTGTTCGGTCTTTGAATTGTATTCTGTCACCACTTCTGATGTCCCTGGACTTCATCCTAGCCTCGAGTTACAAGTATCATATCTGCCTGGCATTTCAGAGGTCTTCTTCATGAAACCTTCCATTTTTCAGTCCATGCTCTAGAAGACAAAGCATCAGTTCTGATGGTATTGAATCACCAAACCTATCTAAATGTCATTCCTTTTTCAGGATTCTACCATAAGAGAAAAATCAAAACACTGGATATTTTTGTCTTTTTCTGGGCTCCATGTTTCTATGATAAGCTAGGCTTTTCTCTTGTTATGGACCAAGAAATTCCATTGCCTTGAATGGTTTCCCCTTAATTCTGTGATTCCATGGTATAAATTATCTGACCATTTTCAAACTGAATATTTCCTTTGGAAGTTCTGAAAAAAACAATCCCTTTATCAATGAAGCCATATATTTTTAATGTTCCAAAGTGCTTGCTTTCAAACTACAGAATAAAAATCCATTTTTAAATTCAAAACCAATGTGTCCTGGTTTACAGCAATTTTCTTCATTCTACATGAACCACTGCATGTTACTGATGCAGCGGTTTGGAGAATTAGGAACTGAGGATAACTAAAACTAAAATACACTGATCTGCTGGCTTAGAATTGGTATCTATAATTTCTGGCAACAAAATTAGTGTCTCTGTAATTTCTCCTAGGCTTCCATTTTCTTCTCTGTGGTATATGTCTCCTACCACATAATTGTACTCACTGGACCTACTATTCTTCACTTCAGGGCAAGGGTCAAGGACTAAACTCTAGATTCCTGAGAGTCTTCCCACCAGTAAGTGATCAGCAGACTCAGGGAAGGGTCTTTATCCTATATAAAGCATCTGGGCTTGTCTATTAGAAAAGCACAACTTAGTAATACCTGAATTGGGCAATACTACAATAAAAAATCAATATACCACAAGTATATGCTAATAAAAATACACATATTGAAGGGTCTGTAATACACAGTAGACTGAAATGAAAATAAAATTTATACTGGAATAATAAGTATGTGAGATTAAAGTCTTAACACTTTATAGTAAAAGAAAATGTACTAGTCAAAAAAGAATTACTATAAAGTACTGGACAAACCCTATAAGGATCAGAATCTTTCTTTTCTACTGTCAAAAGACCAATTCAATTTCAGAGCTAACTCAAGGGTCAGGGGTGAAGTATGTTACCTGAAAAAGTGTGGAATCTAAAGAGATACCCACTTTTTATTGAATACCTGCTAAGCGCCCTTGATTTAATCTTTATTACCCACTCAGTCCTCACAACAACCCTGCAAAGCATATACTATTATTGGCTCTATTAGCAAAGGCAGAGAGATGAAGGCCTCCAGGCTGCAGCAGAGCTGCAGTGGGCCTCGTTGATCTGAAAAAAGTGCTCTCAGTGTGTGGCTGAAGAAAGTTCATGGAGTTGCTTCAAAATCTTCCTCTGAGTGAAGAAATCAGAAACCTGTTCCCCCACCTCATAGTGCAGTGCTAAGAGGGATTGTACTTTCATCTCTAAACCAAGTCTTTACACTGAGCACTCAGGGCCCTTACTGGAGATTTAGTAGTGTGTGACTCCTACTCAAACCAGCTGGACCTTCAGTCCACTGACTGGTGAATAGACAGCTTTACAATAGAAAAGCTGCCTCTTCAGAGAAAGTACCGCAGCGGGGTTTGAAGGCACTGGGGTGAGGAACACTCCCCTTTCAGCAGAACAGTTAATCAAGGTGACCCTTCGCCTCAGTCCTTAGGCAGTCTCTGAAGGAAACTACTGTTAAAGCAAAAGGAGAAGCAAAGAGAACTAGCCAAAATAGCGACATGGAGTGGAGTTTTTTCTCCTTTTGGCCTCTCCCTTTCACAGGGAATTGTGCACCACTGTGTCCACCTTCTCTAAAGTTCATTTTTAAATACACTTTGGCAGGTTGAGTGGATTTTTAAATTCTATTTTATTTTTGTGTTTTTAAGTGATTTAAAAAGTGGCACCGGCAAATGCTTCTCTGTGGCACGTTACTCTTGAAGATCCAGGGGGAAGCAAAGATAATATCCGCTCTTCATGCTTTGCTCTTTACTTTATTGAGCCTTACAATACCCCTCAGAGGTTGGTAAAGTCAGGTTTTATTATTTTCATTTACAGGCTGGAAGTAGAGTAAAGCTCGGAAAGGTGTTAAATGTCACATCAGAAGCAAGTAGAGAATATAGGAATATATGACTTAGATCTTTGGCCAGGGGAAAATACGCTAAACTACTATCTCTCAGAGACTTATCCAGAGATTTCAAGGGGTGATTTTTATTTGTTTTTCTTTAAAGTTTCTTTGTCAAATGTATTTGTGTAATTATCCATACTAAATGTGCTTCCTGAGGCAAAGTGTCTACATTAAAAGTCCTGTGAAGTCCGGTAATAATGACAGTAAAAACTTTTAACTCAGTGTCATTTCATCTTGTGCCTTTTGTTTGAGTAGTGTCCATTTACATCAACAAAACACATTTGGAAAGTGCCATTAAACCAGATTGTCTCTGGTTTACTTCACATAAAATCAAGAGACCATTTTCTTTAAAGAAGTGAATGTCTAAAGTATTTCCACAGCTACTTTGGTGTATGAGCAGGAGGATCATGAGTTCAAGGCCAGCCTGTGTAACATAGGGAGACCCCATTTCAAAAATTAATTAATTACCACTGAAAAAAGAAGGGGCATAGAGCAGAGTGTGAGCAAGCCACTTTCTCATTTGCCTTTGACTTTTCTGTCAATAGCTATTTTCAACTGGATCACTTCTTCCCAGTCCATTTCTCTGCTCCAGTTGTTTGGTCTATTTCACTGCCCCTTCTCCCATTAATTTGATTACATTCCTTCAGCAAACAGAAAGAGCAAATATTAAATTATTGGGTACTGTTTCAAAAACAGGAAGACAAAAATTAAAGCAAATTTCCTGACCTGAGCAGTTCTCTATCTATTAATGAAAAGGCAGAAAAGGAATCAAACAAAAACAATGCAGGCAGACAAGACAAGCCCAGAGGAGAAGCCTCCGAAATCACAGGCAGGAGAGGGAAGCTATGCAAAGAAGGAGGTATGATTCAGGGCCCTCTGGCTGCTTCAGTCATATTAAAAGCCAAACTTTGACACATTAAATTTTAAATCATTTATTTAAGCAGGTACACGATTGTCTCCGCCTTGGACATGAGAATTCCAAGCTTCCTTGTCTTTGGACTCCAGCAGTCCCCCCAAGGCTGCTCAGCTTTCAACCTTGAACTAAGAGTTAAACTTGGACTTAGCTATGCCACTATAGTCCCAGGATCTCCAGCTTGAAGATGACCCATCATGGAAATTCCAGCTGCTAATTCCCCTAATAAATGTATTTAGAATGGACCCTGAAAAGCACAGATGGTAGTCAGCAGAGTATGGTATATAGATGTTTACTCAAGTTTCAGACTATTTACTCTCTTTTCCCACGTGTATGTGGCTGTTTCCATGGAAAGATGCTGCTGAGAACATCTACCAGCAAGGCAGCTGTGAACTCAATGTGCCTGGAACTTACAGGTGCTAGAGAGAAATCATGGGATCTATTTGAGGCAGCAGGAAGAACCATCTTTTTTACAAGTGGTATTATGGTTCAGAACTAAAATGGTCTCTTAAGCCTTAAGTGGTGATTAGATTATAGGGTGGTATAGCTGGCTTGCCGTTGGGATGTGGGACTTAGTTGGAGGTTTTATTTCTTTCCTCAGTTCCTCCCTTCTTGCTGTTCCCTGTCTTTTATCCCATAAGCAGCTCTCCTGCATCATTCTCCCACCATGCCATTTCTTCTTTGGAGCCCATATACCTTGGACTGAAATGTAAGCCAAAATACACCTCTCTGCTTTTATGCTGGGTATTTTATCCCAGCAAGGAGGAAAGTGACTAACACAAGCGGTAAAAATGGATTGCTCTCTTGCTGGAAGCTTTCTCGCCAGCTCCCCTAGACTATGAAATGCTTGATCCATGGGGGCATCCCACCTCCCTACCTTTCCTGAAACTTCTTTCACATCCCAGTAAAGAATGAATAATTTTGCTGAATACTATCACCTATATTGTGGTGGGAAAGAGGAACCTAAATATACAAGTGTTTTATATATCGTAGGAAAGAGTTAGTGCTTACTTACATAATTTCAGCAGCATGTTAAACTCCACGCTGAAATCATGTGGCATAAACTTTAGAACTTCTTGTTCAAAAAACGATCTAAAAAAGAAAGGAAATGAAAATGATACATGAGGAAGAAGGAAGATAAAAAGAAAAAGAAGCTCATTCCATAAAAAAGAAGCAAAATAGATCCCTGAAGAAAAATTCTAACCATTACTATTATCATAATCACCACCTATAATTATTTTGTAGTTTGCACAGTGTATTATGGTTGACACTTAAAATAAATCTTTGTTAATAACAGGGAAGAAAGCTTTCATTTTATTCTCATGATGATAATGTTAAATCAAATAGGTTAAATATGTTGGTCAAGGTCAGACAACCAGTAAGGGGCAGAACTGAGATGAGTATCAATGCCTAAAAATCACAATAGGTTGGTAAAAACTGTTTAATTTAACAAGTTAATAATTGAATGGCTTGTGGTAGAAGGAGTCTAATTTAGTGCCCTTATTAAGAATTAAATTGTAACACTGAAGAAATTTAAAGTTAAGTGAAATGAATTTTCTGAAGAGAGAATTTCAAGAGAAAGACAGATTTCAGGACCTATCTCTATAGGGCTGGTCAAAGCTGTTCCACTTTCCCTCTGTCTCCTACTTCCATTTGCTTGCAAAGCATTGGCAAGAAGTGACAGAGAAGTTTCAAAAACTCTTCTGTATCAGCTGCTTCATTGAGTTACAGAGCTTCAAGAATAGGGCAAAGAGATGACTAAAGAATTTCAGTGAGTCATTTTGAGTGAATCCTCTTGTCATAGCAATACAGGAACTATGTGTGATTTACTTAGGATAATCTTAAATTGCTATATCCCATTATTACAAGTAGCCATGTTAACATATTTCCTTGAATAATTGCTCATTTATTCACTCAGTCTCCAGGTGACTAAATAATCATCATTTGCACAGCTCTTTAAAAATAAATATTTTATATTTTGATATTGTATTATGGTTGTACAAAATGTTACCATCTTGACTAACTGGTTGAACTCCAGAGACTGTAAAATATTTTAAGTAAATATATAAAAATAGATGAATGGGTGGATAGATATTCTAAGACTTCACTCCTAAAGATTCTCATTCAGTAAATTTGGAGTGGGATTCAAAAGCCCATAATTTTTGACCAGAACTTTGGGTGATTCCATACAGCTGGGTAGATGTGTGGCTCAGTGGTATAGCATTTGTCTAGCATGTATGAGGCTCTGGGTTCAATCCCCCAGCAAAGACAAATGCAAAAACAAAACAAAACAAAACAAAACTTTGAACAGTTAGGTCTAGCAACCCCTGGATTCCATTAATGCAATACTCATAGACATCAAGGGAAATTTTCAAATAGTTTTCTCTTGGATGAAGAATTACTCTTTGATTATGACATTATGTTAGGGGCTCACTATTATCTGTACAACCGTCCCACTCCTTCATTCTCATCCTTGCCTGACTTAGTCTCTTACCCACTTCTCCATTCTCCTACTAACTCTCTTGTACTATCTCCACCTTGAATATCTCAGCTTTCAAAGTCAACCCATCAGTAATTAGCTTCACAGTATCTGAATCTCCTCCATCATTACTTCACTGATATGTATGCGTCTATTGTTGGAAATAGAAATAAACAACACAAATCTTTCTTTCAGCAGCCTACTTTGATGGTCAAGTTCACAGCTCTTCAAGCCTAAGGACTTTAGCACACAGGGCTAAGGTAGTGGACTCCAAGATTCCTTATAAGGAAGGTTTAAATGTCCAGGATCATATCCTGAGCTAGTCCATGCTAGAACAAATAGAAAAATGGATTTTAGGACTCCAATATAAAAACATAAATATATAATTGAGAGCTACATTATCAACTGTTATTAACCAGGTAAGTAGCCTAGTTTAAAAGAAAGTTTGATAGAAATGCAAGTGTCTGGATCCCAGCTTTCTCCAGATTCTTCTTTAGTAAGTCTAGAATGGGGTCCAGAAATCTACATTTGTATATATTATATGCTGTTCACTTTCAAAGAAATCTTACTCTAAGGCTCAATATGGATCAATTAGCTGCTAACCCTGAAGGAATACTACAGATATAAATTTCTGAAGAGTTTTCAAAGAGGATTCATGGGGAATCAAAGTGGGGAGAAGGTAGCTCAAGAAAGAAATAGAGAAGAATCAAGAAAACCTTAGTCTAGGTAACAACTTTCCTCAGGACTGACTTTGCTCTCTGGGAGGAGTTGGATGGAAATAGAGCCATAAGAAACATTCTTTTCTCCCAATTGTGAGATTGTCTCTGCTTTTCTACATGGACATGGACCAGGAGAGGAGAGGGGACATCATTCTCATGGAGTGTGGTGGATAAAACTGGCTAAAATGTGAAATAACTAAGATATAAACCGAGCATAGACAAGATATTCAGAAAAACATAAGCTAGGAAGTTTTCCTTTCATGTTCTTGCTTTCTCTCAGAGGTTGAGAGAACTATGAATGAGTGTTTTCTCTAACCAACACTTACTGCTAATAGTAATTCCCAAAGTAGTCTCATACACCAAAAGGAACATGTTCAAAAGCAGAAAATGAAGAGAGTGTGTTCAAAAGTAAGAAATGATTAAGTAGTTTCATTTTAAGGCACATCCAAAAGTCTATTAAATCCTGTTTATTCTTTCATAAGTTTAATTTGCTTACCAGATTAAAAAAGTTAAAACAAACATGGTGTGCCATTATCTCTTGTATTTTACCCATTTTTCTTGTATTCTGTCTTCAATCAGAAGACAGAAATCACAGTTAGGTGAACAAGGGAAGTTTGATCTAAAAAAATTTCAACAGGGGACTGAAGTCATAAGTTATTAAGTAAAATGGGTGGAAGGAGAAAACTGGAAAGGATATCCAAGGAGTGCTTTGGGAGAATTCTCAAGAAAGGAACAATTTTGGGGGAGAGAATCTTCTCCAAAGCTGGACTTCAGATCTCACTGGAGAAAACAGAGTTGAAGACCCCAGAATGATGGAAAATCTCACTAGTTTATTCTGGGCCAGAGTGGATCCCCAGGTGTCAATTAGGCCAATTGAGAACTTCCTACTGAGATACTGATGAAATTTACTGGAAGCTGCCTTCTTAGGCTGTTGACTTGCTGGCAAGCCTGCTGGGGCAGCAACTAAACTTATGAGAAAGCCACCTGGAAGACAACAGACCTAAAGGGGGGCTATTGCTGATTTATTGGGAAACTAGATGATGTATCCATGGAATTTGTGAGCTGCCCTCAGGAGTACCATGGAACTTCTTGTTGGAAACTGCCCAAGATGGGGATTGTACTGAGGAAAGCTGGGGAAGTGCCACTTGTTGATGGATGCCAGCACATTGCTGGGAAAAAGGGGAGGAAAGGCATGCTTAACTAGAAAAGCACACCCAAGCCAGGATGATAAAAACCTCACTATTCCCAAATGTGTTCTTCCTGTGTGTTTCACTGACACTATTTAACAAGACTCATTGTGTTATCACAGAGCAGAAAAATTGATGGAGTGAAGATGAGAGTCAATAAATTGAAAACTGTCACCTCTCCCTGTTTTTTTATTTTCTATAAGACATATATATATATATATATATATATATATGAAAAAGTATCATTTTCCTGAGAAGAAGTTTCAAATGTTATTTGAATCACCATTCAGATGACAACTTTTGTACTTTCCCCTTCTATTTGTAAAAGTGTCTCAGTTTTCAATCTGGTGAAATATCTGCACTACCAGAAAAACACTTCCTGTTTGTGCCCAGCTGACATTACTACATAAGTCTGTTTACTTGAAATGGGCTGGAAATGATCCTAGAAAATTTTCAGATGCTCTTTATAATTTTGCTATTCAGAATGAGGAGCTTGGAAGTCTCATGGTTCCCACAGATGGCAGCTATACCTATAGCAAACACAGGTCCATCTTTCCCAGACTCATTTTCTTTTCACCCTCTTTCTAATAAATTTTCTCTTTAGACCATTTCTTGAATTAATAAGCTGTTCTTAGGAGACTTTTCTGTAAAAATATGGATGTAAATTTTGAAAAGAACAATAAACTAAGTAAATGAACCACTAATGAATGTGCTAGCAGAGGCAAATAAATAAATGAATGAACATATTGATAATATAAGGAAATAATTTTTTTCTGTAAGGAGTCAAATAGCAAATATTTTAGGCTTCTGGGCCAGATGAACTCTATCATAAGGACTGAACTCCACCTGGTAGCATGAATGCAGTCATCAGTAATATCTTTCATTAAAACTTCAGAAAAACAGGTGGCAGTTAGAATTTGACTCATGTGGAGCAAATTGTCAACACCTAAAGTAAAGAAACAGTAAGAGAATTGGATGAAGCAGAACTTGAAGAGGGGAGAAATAGGCAACATTATAAAAAGGCTCAAAAAAAATCTGTCTTGGTTCACTAACCTGTCTTGAAATTTTCCCCAAAGATGTAGCAGAGAAAGCATGAAAGAGTTAGACCAACTTAGGACCTTCTGCCTATCAGCTAAGCCTCAATTTTCTTGTTTGTGAAATAGGGATATAATAACTTAATCATTGTGCTCATTAAAGATAAATTATATAAATCTACATTATTAGTATTTATAACTGTTCTTTACTCTGTAGGTCTCAATTTTCCTTGCTTTTATTAAGCAAGTTGTAGTACCAAAGCTCTAAGATCCTCTCCAAGTTTAATAGATTATGGTTGAACATCAGTGTTCTGGAAATGTCCAGTATAGGGTGTGTGCCATAATCTGACTGTTTAGCAAGAGCCATGTTGTCCATCATCATAACTTCATCACAAACTTTATTTTTTCTAGTGCCAAAAAATCACAGGGGAAAGTTTCAAGTTCTTCCACTGAACTGTCAAAACAATAGTTCTCAACAGGAGATGGGGGAGACAGGGGTTATTGCTACCATAACTCTTGTATGCTTCCAAGATTGGGAGATATACTAACATTTAATGGGAATAATCCAGGGATGCTAAACTTCCTAGAATGTATGAAACAGTCATGCATAATAAACAATCACTGTGCCCTGTATTGATGTTTATTTTCCACTGGGAATATATATAAATTTTAA